TTAATGTTTAATTTCTACAACTTACGTAGCGATTTACAAGAAATCTATAAAAGGTACAAATGTTCTTTATACTAATTTCATTCTCTAAGTTTTAGCTTTTATATGCATGTTTAATATTAATAATACAACGAAGATCGTCGAGATATAGAAGAAAAATGTAGAACTGCACTTTTCGAATGATATTTATACTTTTAACTCAAAAAAACGTGTTTATTATTGAATCTATAAGAGACACAGATTCGATTTGTTATTTAATATGAAACACACTGTAGTTCCAATTACTTGAAATTTGGCAGCGAATTACAAGAAATCTATAAAAAGTACAAATGTTATTTATACTAATTTCATTCACTATAGTTTTAGCTTTTATATGCATGTTTAATATTAATAATAGCAACGAAGATCGTCGAGATATAGAAGAAAAATGTAGACACTACACTTTTCGAATGATATTTATACTTTTAACTCAAAAAAAACGTGTTTATTATTGAATCTATAAGAGACACAGATGCATTTTTGTTATTTAATATGAAACACACTGTAGTTCCAATTATTTGAAATTTGGCAGCGAATTACAAGAAATCTATAAAACGTACAAATGTTGCTTTATACTAATTTCATTCTCTACAGTTTTAGCTTTTATATGCATGTTTAATATTAATAATAGCAACGAAGATCGTCGAGATATAGAAGAAAAATGTAGACACTGCACTTTTCGAATGTATTTATACTTTTAACTCAAAAAAACGTGTTTATTATTGAATCTATAAGAGACACAGATTCGTTTTTGTTATTTAATATGAAACACACTGTAGTTCCAATTACTTGAAATTTGGCAACGAATTATAAGAAATCTATAAAAAGTACAAATGTTATTTAATACTAATTTCATTCTCTATAGTTTTAGCTTTTATATGCATGTTTAATATTAATAATAGCAATAAAGATCGTCGAGATATAGAAGAAAAATGTAGACACTGCACTTTTCGAATTTTAACTAAAAAAAACGTGTTTATTATTGAATCTATAGGAAACACAGATTCGTTTTTGTTATTTAATATGAAACACACTATAGTTCCAAATACTTGAAATTTAGCAGCAAATTACAAGAAATCTATAAAAGACACAATAATAAGGCTGCACTCATTTTATTCCTTATAGTTTTATCTTTAATTTGCGCATTTTGGAATCAATCTGGCATAAGTTATATGAATGAAAACGTAAGAACACAGACTTAACTGCGATTTGCATTTGGAATGTTGTAGTTATCGATTTATCGAGTGTGTATTTCAACAGAAGCCAACCTAAAGCAGGTTTAAGCTGTCTCCGTCGGTTCGCCGATTCCGAAATTGGCCAATTGTTCCATTTTCGGTAGCAGCGAGAAAAGATAGAGAATGCAAATCGGAAAAGCGCGCACACGTAATCGGGATTTACGAGCACAGAAATGGAAAGTAATAGAACTTACCTTCATGCTGGGAAATCCGATGCCGACGAGGAAGTTGGCCAACCAATTGACGAGAACTGCGATCGACATCGCGGCCGGTCTAGGTCCCTGCGAGAAGAGCTCCGCCGTAATCATCCATGGAATCGAACCGGGTCCAACCGCGAAGAACACCACGAAGCTGAGCGTCGACACCACGGACAGGTACGACATCCAGTCGATCATCTCCTGCACATATCCAAAGAACTCCTATCAGGGAAGTAGTAACGGTGTTCTTTCCCGACGGAGAGGAGTGACCCAAAAGAGAACAACGACAAAAGAACAAAAAAAAAAGAAGGATACAACCAATGGAAACAACAACAACAACAAAAAAAGATGAAAGAACTGAGTATAGTAGTTCCACGTTGATTGTTAGTGGCGATGATCAGTGTTAGTTTTTTGGTGTGTCTTCGAGTGTTCATGCAAGTGTAGAATACTAACGAGTCACGCAATCAACGAATTGCCTACGTTAATCATGATTCGGCGATTGCGCCCTCTATGAATCTAAATAGAAAAACACCGTCAATTCAAGGTACAAATTTAATTAAAACACTCTTTGCGGACGAGTGGCGTATATATCCGCCATATCCTAATTATGATTGATTATGACACCTTGAATCTACGTTGGTTATAGTACAAAATTATACACGGCGTGCAATTATATATAAAATATATTTTTTCTCTCTGAATCGAGTAAAATGATTAATAGTGTGCCTTGATTGGTGTGTATAATGAGAATTTTTTTGTTAAATTCACTTGAGATTTAGTGTTTTTTTTTGTTTGTTAATATAATAAATAAATTTGGTGTCGTGAGAGTGTGTTGAAAGAAAAAGAAAGCAAAAGAAAACTTGAGTTAACAAAGATACATATTTACAGCGTCCCTCCTCCACCTTGTCAGGAAAGTCTTGTAGTACTTGGGGGTGATGAGGGGATCGAAAAGAAGCGGGGTTCTAAATCACGTGAAGATGTGCTTTAATTTATCGTCACTGCGCGTCCATTTGAACAGTGATTTTGTTTTCGTTATATAAAAGTGATATTAGTGATTCGTCCTTCAAGCGGTAAATAATAATTTAAACAAAAAAAAGTTTGATTAAAGCACATTGCACTGGTGTAAAGGCGAAACGAAAAGATAGTTGAAGAAGACATGCAAGGGTTTTGGTTAGTAGCACAAATATACAACAAAAAAATATACATATTTATATACATAGAAGAATAACAACAGTTCATATGACCTGAATATAGGTTAGGTTTACACTTAGCTTGTTTTTTTTTTAATTATGTCAAATCTGTCAATAATTAACCTAAAACTGTTGACGTTTCACCTATCAATTATTATGTACTAATGTAAATTGTCACAAAGTAAATTACAAAAATGATTGAATTTAATTCTAATAAAAACTAAGAAAATCGATTTTAAGTAAGACTGAAACACTGAAAATAATCTTTATGATAATTTCTAAGACAAATGTTAACCATTAATTTACCTTATAAACGTCACATGATTTAATAAATGTATTTCGATTATCGAAATGTGGTTACAAACAAGATCAAGAGTTTTATGAACCGATTGATCAAATGACATAAATCAATTATCGAATCGAAACTTCTCGACCGTTCTAACCTAATAACCTGAACGAAATCCAATTTCAGATTGAAAACAAACTGAAAACTATTTGTTTGTTTTTTTATTTCACCTGAAATTAAAATTCCTGAAACTATACAAACCTTCACAAAAACAAATTGTTTCAATACAAATAAGCACGAATTTATCTGCGACACGTGTGTAAAATACAAAAAAAAAAACAAAAATCCGGTCGGAAAGAGCGTATTTACATATATAGGAGGATGGCAATTAAAATCGCGGGATTACCTTGTTCTAAAAAAAACAAAAGCGAAATGTACAAAAAAAAAAGGGACGCGCGCGTAGATCTATTGGGGTTTGGCAATGATGTTTTAATCATCGGGCTTTTAGCAACAAATTGGTACGAAATCCATTTACGTCCGACGGTTTACGTCCGCTAATTGACTTTTATTCATTAAACAAACACGACCCGATCATGTTTTATAATAATAATAATCCAAATTGTTGGGTCGATGCACCGCGAAAAAAGCAACGCAAATGAGTAGTCATTATTAGTTGTAGACACAATAATGAAACATTGATCTTTGTTGAAATTTAAATTCTTGTTACTATGGAAACTATGGCTTTGTTTTTGCAGATCCGTAATGCGGTAATTTATGGGAGGTCAGAGGGTGACGCGGTTTTTTTGATGTACGTCACGTGCACGCGTTTGTGCATTTTATAATTACAAATTGATTAAAGATTTATGGAAAATTCGGTTTTGTTTATAGCGGCGAGGCGTGGGTGTGTATTTCGATATTACCGAACGATAATAATTGCTGGAATTTTCGCAATGCGCGGACCGAATCCGATAATTAATAATGAATGATGCACTGCGGGCGGCTTCGAGGGCGCACGTTGCGCAAGGGGGCGGCACGTTGCCTTTTGTTACTAACCTTTATGAGGAACGAAATGGTGATGAAGATGGAGAAGATGAACATTCCACCGAGGCCGTAGAGGTGGAGCGTCCTGCGGCCGGTCCTGTCCATCAACGGGATGGACACCAGGGTCATTCCGACCATTATCGCACCGATGCCTATGGTCGCGAACTTTGCGCTCTCGTCCGTCAGGCCGCTGCTCGTGAAGAGACTCGTCGAATAATAGAACACCTGATTTTGAATCAAAGGAAAAAAGATAATTAAATATATCACCAGGTTTTAGTTGGTATTTAAAATGTCACTTTTTTGATATAAATATGCAACTGTACAATCATCAATAACTATATTTACTTACATAAAACTTTCAAGTTGGTACTTAAGCAAACAAAGTACATTGATTTTTGCATAACGATTGTCTTTTGTAATTAATAAACAATTATGTCAAAAAGTGTAACGGTAAAAAGAAACTGAATAAATCAATAGTTTTCGTAAGTAATCCGTACTACTTGTCAATCATCAAGTGAATTAATATGTATGAGCTATACCTGCAATAATACTTGCGTAGTTTCCGTAATAAGTATCAGGCATATTTGTGGTAAGTATGATATACTTGTTCATGTACTTGTGTAGTTTTCTTAATT